TGAAATCATGACAAATCATTTACGAAGAAGTCATGACAAAACATATACGTTCATGTTTGACAAAACATTTACGTTCATGTTTGACAAAACATAAACGAAGAAATCATGACAAAGCATATACGTTCATGTTTGACAAAACATATACGATGAAGTCATGACAAAACATAAACGATGAAATCATGACAAAACATTTACGCTCATTACGATGAAGAAGTCATGACAAAGCATATACGTTCATGTTTGACAAAGCATATACGTTCATGTTTGACAAAGCATATACGTTCATGTTTGACAAAGCATATACGATGAAGAAGTCATGAAAATTCATGAGGTGAGAAAAGGTGTTAGATCTAACATTCTAACATAAACATTATTTTTGGATCATTTACGCTCATTACGATGAAATCATGACAAATCATTTACGAAGAAGTCATGACAAAACATTTACGTTCATGTTTGACAAAGCATATACGATGAAATCATGACAAATCATTTACGTTCATTACGATGAAGAAGTCATGACAAAGCATATACGATGAAGAAGTCATGACAAAACATATACGATGAAGTCATGACAAAACATTTACGATGAAACCTTGACAAAGCATATACGTTCATGTTTGACAAAGCATATACGATGAAGAAGTTTTGACAAAGCATATACGATGAAACCTTGACAAAACATATACGTTCATGTTTGACAAAGCATATACGAAGAAGTCTTGACAAAACATATACGATGAAGTCATGACAAAGCATATACGAAGAAGTCATGACAAAGCATATACGATGAAGTCATGACAAAGCATATACGAAGAAGTCATGACAAAGCATATACGTTCATGTTTGACAAAACATATACGAAGAAGTCTATGAACATAATAATATTTCAAACTAGGAGCCAAATTCTTGCGATTTTCATATGGAATCTCTTCCCTCGGTTTTCTGAGGTAAGCAATTATATGAAATCATTTACACTCATTACGATGAAGTCATGACAAAACATATACGAAGAAGTCATGACAAAACATATACGAAGAAGTCATGACAAAACATTTACGTTCATGTTTGACAAAACATATACGAAGAAGTCATGACAAAACATATACGAAGAAGTCATGACAAAACATATACGATGAAGTCATGACAAAACATATACGTTTAGTTTCGATGAAATCAACATGACAAAGCATATACGAAGAAGTCATGACAAAACATTTACGTTCATTACGATGAAATCATGACAAAACATTTACGATGAAATCATGACAAAATATATACGATTAAATCATGACAAAACATATACGATGAAGAAGTTTCGACAAAACATTTACGATGAAGAAGTCTTGACAAAGCATATACGAAGAAGTCATGACAAAACATTTACGTTCATTACGATGAAATCATGACAAAACATTTACGATGAAGTCATGACAAAACATATACGATTAAATCATGACAAAACATATACGATGAAGAAGTTTCGACAAAACATTTACGATGAAGAAGTCTTGACAAAACATTTACGAAGAAATCATGACAAAGCATATACGTTCATGTTTGACAAAACATATACGTTCATTCCGATGAAGAAATCATGACAAAACATTTACGAAGAAATCATGACAAAACATTTACGAAGAAGAAATCATGACAAATCATTTACGTTCATGTTTGACAAAACATATACGATGAAGAAATCATGACAAAACATTTACGAAGAAGAAACCTTGACAAAGCATATACGTTCATGTTTGACAAAGCATATACGATGAAGAAATCATGACAAATCATTTACGCTCATGTTTGACAAAACATATACGATGAAACCTTGACAAAACATTTACGCTCATTACGATGAAGAAGTTTTGACAAAGCATATACGATGAAACCTTGACAAAACATATACGTTCATGTTTGACAAAGCATATACGATGAAACCTTGACAAAGCATATACGTTCATGTTTGACAAAGCATATACGATGAAACCTTGACAAAGCATATACGTTCATGTTTGACAAAGCATATACGTTCATGTTTGACAAAGCATATACGTTCATTCCGATGAAGAAATCATGAAAATTCAATGAGGTGAGAAAAGAGGTGAGATCTCACCTCTTCACCTAAACATTATTTTTGTCTGATTTACGCTCATTCCGATGAAGAAATCATGACAAAACATTTATGTAAACATTTATTTCCTGTGTTGTTGTCAAAATGTCATGTTGTCACACTTTTTCAGAGAAGTTCATTAACCTGGTAGCACATGGTAACATGGTAGCACCTTCAGTTCTTCAAAAATAATTCATAACTGCCTTCCTCCTGTGTTGTTGTCTAAATGTCATGTTGTCTCATTTTTTCAGAGAAGTTCATTAACCTGGTAGCACATGGTAACATGGTGACACCTTCAGTTCTTCAAAAATAATTAATTATTGAATAACCTGAAAACATTTACGTAAACATTATTTTTGGTTCATTTACACTCATTACGATGAAGTTTTGACACGAAGTGAAGAATTGCACTTCGTCAAAAAAGTGAAGGTTCCCGACGGTTTCAAACCGCCATACTTTACATTTTGTACAAAAATATTGTGAGTAAATGAACTCATTATTTTTGCATCATGACAAAACATTTACGTTCATGTTTGACAAAACATATACGTTCATGTTTGACAAAGCATATACGATGAAACCTTGACAAAACATTTACGTTCATGTTTGACAAAGCATATACGATGAAGAAATCATGAAAATTCATGAGGTGAGAAAAGAGGTGAGATCTCACCTCTTCACCTAAACATTATTTTTGGATCATTTACGCTCATTACGATGAAGAAATCATGACAAAACATATACGATGAAGTCATGACAAAGCATATACGATGAAGTCATGACAAAGCATATACGATGAAGTCATGACAAAACATTTACGATGAAGAAGTCATGACAAAACATGTACGATGAAATCATGACAAAACATTTACACTCATTACGATGAAGAAATCATGACAAATCATTTACGTTCATTACGATGAAGAAGTCATGACAAAACATGTACGTTCATGTTTGACAAAACATATACGATGAAGTTTCGACAAAACATTTACACTCATTACGATGAAGAAGTTTTGACAAAACATTTACGTTCATGTTTGACAAAGCATATACGATGAAGTTTCGACAAAACATTTACGTTCATGTTTGACAAAGCATATACGTTCATTACGATGAAGTTTCGACAAAACATATACGATGAAATCATAACAGTAAGGAGGTCGTTCATGCAATAATGAAATAGTTCATGAGAACAGTAAGGAGGTCGTTCATGCAATAATGAAATAGTTCATGAGAACAGTGAGGAGGTCGTTCATGCAATAATGAAATAGTTCATGAGAACAGTGAGGAGGTCGTTCATGCAATAATGAAATAGTTCATGAGAACAGTGTTGAGGTTAGTACTTGTTGTTAGTGTTTGTCATTTGTGTTGAGGTTAGTACTTGTCGTTAGTGTTGGAGTTTGTGGTTGTTGTTAGTGTTGGAGTTTGTGGTTGTTGTTAGTGTTTGTCATTTGTGTTGAGGTTAGTACTTGTCGTTAGTGTTGGAGTTTGTGGTTGTTGTTAGTGTTGGAGTTGTGTTTGTTGTTAGTGAGAGAATAAATTAAATCATGAACTTTGTCATGGTCTCTGTCCCTAGTAGTTTTCATTAAGTTCTGGAAATAATGAAAGTCATAAACTTTGCCATGGTCTCTGTCCCTAGTAGTTTTCATTATCTCACAGAGTTAATGAAAGTCATACTTTCTATCAGATGAAGCATGCAGATGAACATAATGAAAGTTAGTGAGTTTGCCACGAGTTATGAATAAAATATTGGCATATTAGATGAGATAGCTGATGAAACAGATGAAGATAAATTAAATCTTGGACTTTGCCACACTCTGTCCCTAGTTCCTCAAAATCCTTGACAACGTTGCTTAGAAATTTTGGTTCAAAACCTCATCTGATTTTAATCTGTTATGCTACCTGTTAAGTTTCGCGAGATTATAAATGTCATGGAGTTATATAAAAAGGAGGGACAGCTAGGGACACTGGAAGTACTTGTAAGGCTATCTGTTAAGATTGCATGAAATACTAAAAAGTCATGAAATCCATTATCGCTGTGCTAGCTTCACCTTTGATTGAAATGACGACTAAAGTCACTGAAGCAATGAAACAAAAGTTTTTGGTAGAATACATTAAATCAGGAACTATTCCAGAAGGTTTTTACATTCATACTATGAAGGATGGTAGAGTTCAGTTTAGAAAGATAAAGCAACCATTAGATAAAGAAGGAATTTTGAGAAAGATTAAACTTCATGAGGACAACATTGCTGAACTTAAGAAGAAGTTAGAAGAGTTGGAGAAAGGAAGAGAGTTATAAAGCAATGAATTCACAAGGTTAGAAAACGTGTTAGAAAACGTGTTAGATCTAACATTCTAACATAAACATTATTTTTTCACCTCTGACAACGTTTATTTTTATTTTATTTTTAAGTTTATTTTTATATAAATGACAGAACAAAAGCAACTCATACAAATCAAAACATATAACAAACATACATTTAAACATTTATTCTTCCTTCCTGAGCATAACATGTTCTTTCAAATACATCCGAGACCAGTTGACTTTTCATTGACTGTGTATAAAGATAGAAATAGTTATATCATTAAACCATATGATGACGAAGGTAAGTTATGTAAATTGTACGTTAAGAAGTTAGAGAAAGTTTATGGCTTCAATTATGACTACAATAGGGTTAACACTGATGATGAAGATATTGAGGAAAATTTATGAGAACATTAGTGAAGTCGTTAGTGAGAACGATAGTGAGAACGTTTATTTTTACATTAGTGAGTTCGTTAGTGAAGTGAAGTGGTTGGCGGCTTTGTAAATATTTAAGGTTAAGTTAGTGTTGTCGTTTGATTTGTAAAATATACGTTAACGGTTTTGTAAATATTTAAAGTTATGTTGGGTAAGGTTATGATGAGTAAGGTGGAACGCAGTGCCGCCGTACCCAACATAACCATACTAACTTTTATTTCACAATACAAATTCATTATTTCATCAACAATTATCAGTGAATCAAACATCGAATCATTCATCAGATACAGTCTTAAAACATGTGATTTCGATAAAACATGTTCATTCATCGCATCTCATATCTCTTTTCTTGGACCTTCAAAACTTTGTCTTCTTTTTGAATCTGTTTATCATTCTATTGCATCATCGTATTTTAACGAAAACATCGATGATACTTTTATTGATTTTATTTCAAATATTTTGAGTAACGAACATGTTTTTGTCTACAATGAAGATGATATCTGTGATTTTGTTATTTCATTCATCAAAACATTTTCACCTTTATTATCATTTTCATCATCATTTTCAGAAACATCAAAAACATCAAATACATCAAATACATCAAATACATCAAAATTCGACAAACTGATTGAATTCATCAGATTCGAATTCTGCACAAACGAAACAATTTCTCGTTTTATCAAATTTTATTCTTCATTCATCAACTCCTTTGATCAAGAAATGAAAACAGAAAATAAATCATATGACAATATTCAAAACGAAAATGAAATCTTCACTCATTTATTTGAAACATTAATGTTATCATCAAATGATAACATTAACAATAACAATCATAAAAAACCAAACAATTTAATAAAATTTCAACAACAGATGAAAATATAAATTCATTTGAAAGATATTGGACTTCAAGAGAATTCATTAGTCTTTATGAAACATTTGTAAAATGTAGTCAAGAACGAGATCTTTATTCAATCAAATTTGCTGTTGATAATGAATATCATAAAGTATACTATTTTGCTAATAATCTAATTCATTATGCAGCAAATTTAAATAATTTATCTCTTGTTCAAGATCTTATTTCATGTGGTGTTGATCCTAATATGAGAAATGATGGTCTAGAAACACCACTCCATATTGCTTGTTATTATAATTCAATCAATGTTGTCAAATTTCTTCTTACGTTTAATGAAATTGATATTAATGCACAAGATATATGTGGAGATACTCCTCTTCATAAAGCATGCAATTATAATAATGAAGAAATTGTTAAAATTCTCATCAGATTAAGAGGTATTAATATTAACATAAAGAATAATCAAGGTAAAATCCCTATTAAAATGACTAGCAATGAAAGAATTCATAATCTACTTATTAAAAAATGATAATTCATAACAAGTTTATATATATTTCCATTACAATATATCTGATCATTGAAAGTTCAGATATAGAAAATATTTAATATTGTCCAACAAATGATTTAAATGATTGAACACAATTCTCATAAAAGTCCGAGAGTATTTATATTATTACATTTACAAGATCAACAAGAAAAATAAAATGAAACATCATGCTTTTTTATAGCTATCATAACTGATTGGTTATTGATAACGAAAAGCTCCCTTGTTAATTGTTAAGGGTGCGGTTACCACTTTCTGGCATTCTCAATTTTTTGACAATCTAGTTTTTTTATCCAAATAATTATGTTTGGGAAAAAGAATTTTAAATCACTACATATTACCTTATATAACTGTTAAACTTTTTTTGTAATTACACTAAAGATGTAACGTTTCCATATTGGGAGGGTTCAAATTATCTGACGGGTTCAAATTGGGTTTTGAGGGAATTTGTAAATTCTTTCGTACTCATTTGTGAGAATTGGAGGTTTTTTACTTTAAAATTTTTTTTTCCATTTTGTCAAAAATATGGTAGCCGATTATAAAAATGACTCAAAAGGATTTTATTGTTTTCGTGTGCATTTGAAAATTTATCATTAGATCGGCATCTGAATCTGTCAGCAATTTTTGAACCAGAAAAATTTGGAAACGTTATTTATTTTATGCGAGTTTGTCAGAAAGTGGTAAGATCACGTTTAAGGAGTGTTTATTCATTCGTTTTTTAAATTCATAAAAATATTTTATATTACAAAACAAAAATGCACAAAATTATTATGATTGCGGAGTAGAATCTCCAGCAACTTTCGAGAACATTGGAACCAATACATCCTGATAAGGGTATAATGATTCCAAGGCAGGTTCTTCTTGTATCATTCTTGAGAATGCAGTAAATAAATTTTTGGCTTCTTTTGGCTTATTTGCTCTCAAAAAGCAAATAGCAGCATTGATTATCAATCTATGTGTTTTCTTTTTCTGTATTTCTTTGGCAAAAAGTTTGCCTGCAGCCATGTATTCGCCAATATTCATCAGGGCTATTGCAAGGCCTTCGGAAATGCCTTCAATGCTTGGATCTAAGGAATTGGCACGCTTTAAAGCTACGGCTGCGCTACAGAAAAGTTTTAATTCTAAGTAATTTAGGCCTAAATTGGCCAAAGGTATGGCTTCGAATGGAGCACAGAATGTAGCTTTCTTGCAGCATGCTAATGAAGCTTCAATTCGACTTTTTGTGTTGATAACCATTGAAACATTATTCCATAAAGCTGGAGAATTCATCAATCCTTGGAATGACTTTCTATAAAGATCAATTGACTTCTGCTGATGTTGTTGGTCTTGCTCGATAGATCCTGCAAGAAGCATTGACTGATAATCTGTTGAATCTCTGGTATATGATGCTTCAAACTGATTCAATGCTCCTTCGTAGTCTTTCTTGGCGAGATAATACTTGCCAATACGCTTATGTAATACCGTGTTTGTAGGATGATGAACAAGTGCTTCTTGTATTAGTGACTCGAGATCATCAAATTCTTTCTTGGCCTCATAAACATTCATTAATTCAAGGACAGTTTCAATTCTAAAATCAGTATCAAGTGCATTTTGAAACTGGTCAATTGCATCATCAAATTTTCTGAGTTTTGCATAGTTTTGACCAGATAAGTGATAAACTTCCCATATATTTCCATCATCTGAGTTCTGAATTTCTTCAAGGATTGATATAGAACTTTGAAATCTTCCGAGAAAATATAAACATTTTGCAATTTCAAGAGAATGTCGAATATTTTTAGTATCGAATTGTGTAGCTGTTTGAAAACAATTAAGAGCTTCTTCTATATGCCCTTTAGTCCTTAAAACACAGCCTTTTAAGTTTAATGCCTCGGCATTATCAGGAGACTTACGCAAGATTTGATTAACTATATTTACACACATGTCATATTGCCCTAGAACGAAAAATCTGTGAGCAAGCCACTCAGATGGCTTGTTATCGACAAGTCTTACGGTCGAGAGCATAAATTATTAACGTATATTTTCAAAATTTAGGGGTTTTGATCGACCACATACCTCCACTCAATTTTCTTCCTCTTCGAGACATCATGTAAGCCGACATGAGTGATACTATTCCTTGCACCAAACACACTATGATAGTATTTCTTTATAACACGCTATACATTTATATGATAGGCCAATCTCAAATCCATTAGATGTTGTATAAATATGTTGTAAAAATGCCTCTGTACATAGATATAAAATTTTCCTGGGAAGTGAAATAATAAAATCCCAAATCCATAAAAAATATTTAAGATATTTGGATAGAAATGAGAATGTTTTTGGTTGATTCAGACTTTTTTTTTCGTGAAGTGAAATAAACTACAATTACAATTTTGGCCTCTCAACCTCACTTTGACACGAAAAGTTTATTATTTAAAAGTGATAAAATTGAAAAAGAAATATCACTGATTTTGGTGATAAAATATGCATAGGTATAGATCATTGATTATGTATGTAAAATTATAAATAATTATATTGAATTTGGCCTCATGAAAAAAATCAACATAAATCGAAAAAAGCAAGATGAAAAAATGGTCATCGATAAAGACCTCACTTTGATGTATTTTAAATACTGTATATTTTATGGAGGAAAGATGAACCGGATATTTGGATTGAAACATAGTATTCGCCAAGATTTGAGCCACCAATGTTGAAAATTTTAAGAGGAGATATGTGGTCGGTCAGAACCCTTAAAATGAATAAGATGTTTATTATTTAATGGTAATGCTTTTTCAATGTATCCAAGAAAATGTATAGACATATGTTTTTTCCTTTATTAAATTCTTAAGGTATTACTTGTTCAATTTTAGCTATTTAAAATATTAAATAGATTATGAATTCTTTTTTTGCGAGTCATGTTAATAGGAATTTTACCTTGACTATTCTTAATGTTGATATTAATATCTCTAAAATCTATGAGAATTTTAACAATTTCTATACATTTTTTCTGCATGCTATATGAAGAGGAGTATCTCCATAACTATCTTGTGCATTAATATCAATTTCATCTAATGTTAAAAGGAATTTGACAACATCGATTGAATTATAATAACAAGCAAAATGGAGTGGTGTGTCTCGATAACTATTTCGCATATTAGGGTCAACACCACATGAAATAAGATCTTGAACAAGAGTTAAATTATTTCGTTGTGCTGCATCTATGTATAATTTTATGAATTTCTATATCTGAACTTCCAATGATCAGATAGATTGTAATGGAAATATATATAAACTTGTTATGAATTATCATTTTTTAATAAGTAGATTATGAATTCTTTCATTGCTAGTCATTTTAATAGGGATTTTACCTTGATTATTCTTTATGTTAATATTAATACCTCTTAATCTGATGAGAATTTTAACAATTTCTTCATTATTATAATTGCATGCTTTATGAAGAGGAGTATCTCCACATATATCTTGTGCATTAATATCAATTTCATTAAACGTAAGAAGAAATTTGACAACATTGATTGAATTATAATAACAAGCAAAATGGAGTGGTGTTTTTAGATCATCATTTCTCATATTAGGATCAACACCACATGAAATAAGATCTTGAACAAGAGATAAATTATTTAATTTTGCTGCATAATGAATTAGATTATTAGCAAAATAGTATACTTTATGATATCCATTATCAACAGCAAATTTGATTGAATAAAGATCTCGTTCTTGACTACATTTTACAAATATATCATAAATATAAAGGATTTTATTTGAAGTCCAATATTTTTCAAATGAATTTATATTTTCATCTGTTGTTGAAATTTTATCAAATTGTTCTATATCTTTTATCTGTGATGATAACATTAATGTTTCAAATAAATGAGTGAAGATTTCATTTTCGTTTTGAATATTGTCATTTGATTTATTTCCTGTTTTCATTTCTTGATCAAAGGAGTTGATGAATGAAGAATAAAATTTGATAAAACGAGAAATTGTTTCGTTTGTGCAGAATTCGAATCTGATGAATTCAATCAGTTTGTCGAATTTTGATGTATTTGATGTATTTGATATTTTTGATGTTTCTGAAAATGATGATGAAAATGATAATAAAGGTGAAAATGTTTTGATGAATGAAATAACAAAATCACAGATATCATCTTCGTTGTAGACAAAAACATGTTCGTTACTCAAAATATTTGAAATAAAATCAATAAAAGTATCATCGATGTTTTCGTTAAAATACGATGATGCAATAGAATGATAAACAGATTCAAAAAGAAGACAAAGTTTTGAAGGTCCAAGAAAAGAGATATGAGATGCGATGAATGAACATGTTTTATCGAAATCACATGTTTTAAGACTGTATCTGATGAATGATTCGATGTTTGATTCACTGATAATTGTTGATGAAATAATGAATTTGTATTGTGAAATAAAATCTTCGTTCTTGAGAAGAACACCAAGATCATAAATAATTTCACTTGTTTCGATGTCGATGTTTTCTGAAACATATCCTTCTTGAACAAACTTACAAAAAATGTTTAATGCTTTATTAAATGAATCTTTATTATTAATATCAGTATCAATATTAATATTAATCTCTTGTGTACTATTATCTGTAATCAACATGTTTCGAACTGTTTCACTTACAACAACTGCGTGTGATTGCGTTGTATAAAATCGATGACCATTGATAACGAAACAAAAATCACTTCCATATTTAACTAAAGATGAATTTCTGCAATACTGAGAATCAACAACAAATTTAATATCACTCATCAAAATTTTTTATTTTGTCACTTTTTAAAAATTTACCATCAACACAAAGAAATTCATACAACGAAATCAATAAATAAAAAATATATACAAAGCTTAGTTTGTTCAATATTTACACCCCGAGTCTTCTCCTAGAGATCTTTTTTGATTTTGAAGCAATGAAAAGATAGAGTATGCTCAATGCATGCTATTTAAAGTTTATTCAAAAAAAAATATCAATTCTATCATAGAGAAAAAGTACATTTAAGTCCAGAAAACTGAATAGTTGTAAACTAAGGCAGTGAGCCCTTAAAATATAAACAACTTTACAATTTGTAAAATTCCTACAAAAAAGAAAACAGAGTTTGAGAAGATTTTTCTTGTCTAATCAAAATATTAATAATCAGAATATACTAATCATTGAGCTATATGGAAAAACTCGTAGAAAAATCTCAAATCATAGGCAAAACAAACAAAATTAGAAAGCCAATTGATGCCTGTCTAAAGGAAAGCCATTTATCAGTTAATCATTAACTAATTACTCGAAATGAAAATCAGAAAAATCTCTTTCCCTTCAAAAGAGCAAAAGCTATACGGAAAATGTTCATTTATTGTATAGCATTACTATTTTAATAAAAATCTTTTATCTTTGTTTTTAAGGTTAAAAATAATCGTCGCGTTAAAATCTTAGGTCCATTTCAATTCAATATTTGAAAGCCCATTTGTAAAGCATTCAAAATTGAATGGGATGAACACGAGATTATAATAGTACTATATTTGAATCAAAATAAAAATAATAAATCAATTTTTACTTCTTATTCTTTGTTGTCATAACTACAACTATGATAAGAACAACTAAAACAACCACTGCTATGCCAATACCCATCCAAAGGCATTTTCTACTCTTTTTCTGGTGCTCTCTAGCAGCTTCAAGATGCTGAACACCTCTTTGGACGTAATCTGTAGCTTGTGCAATGTTTGCTTCAATATTATCTATTTGACGGCCCTGATCTTTAATTAAGATGGAGAATTGTACAAACAGCTCCATAAGATCAGATAAGCTCTTTTCAATGCTCAAAATATCCTCATGACGAGCAGCAATTTTATTATAAGTATCAACGATTTCTTCCGTTGCCGCAGATTGGCCCTGGATCTGGAAAACACTTTGCTGAAGGGCATCTGGGTTTTCGGTAATAATTTTCTGAACCATATCATCATCAAGTTTAATTCCTGCGATTGCATAGTGTCTTGATACTTGTTTTGCGAATTTCTGCTTTGTTTCTTCTTGAATTGTTGTGAAACGGTTAATAACTTCTGCAAAATTATTTGAAAGAACATGAAGATGGTTTCTTTGAAGACGAACTTGGGCAGAGCCTGGATATTCATCAGCTAAGTTATCGACATTCTCTCGTAGTTTGGCGATATCTTGTCTGATTTGATTGGCTTTTCCTGTAATTGAGCCAAGTTTTTCTTTAAGTTCTTCATGTTTTTCAGTAGCTTCCTCTTGATCCTGTATTTTTTGTAAATCATCATCAAGCGCTTGAATATCATTTAACGTTTCGTCAATGTCATCAATTTTACTTTGAACAGAATTATAATTGTTCCAAAAATTAGCAAATGGATCATTAGGGCTAACCTGTACTGGCGGTGGTTTATCACCTGAAACGCCACTCTTACTTCGGAGAGCTCCTAAACGATTCGTCATATTTGAATTTTTTTTTTACTTTTTGAGAAATTCTTTTGGATACAATTTGAGTAATCTTGTGATTTAAATGTTGATAGTATAAATAATGAGATTTTTGATTGCATCAGACCATCATCAAATCAAAAAGTGGCATGTAACTGATAGATTGGATCAATTTTTTCATTACAATTCACTGGGATTTACTAATACTTCTGATTTGCCATCGATGGACTTTTTGAAATAGGATAAATAATTCTAGAAAGTATCCTGTAAAGCACTAATTTCGTACTAATTCAACTTTGAATTCACTATCACTCTTGTTTTTCCTCGCATCTATTAATCACAAAGTATTGTTTTTCTATAATATCATTATGCAATAATAGAAACGTGTCAGTTTCTGCCGGATTTATTAATAAAATATTTTCAAATTGGAACATATGTGCTCATAGTGTGTGATAGGTAATAAATTATGTTATTATGCATAAGCACAATATTTAAATGATGTCTTGTGAAGAATTAATTTGCTCAAATCAATTGAAACTCCTTCCGGTATTCTTATATGGTATTTATTCATTGATACTCATTATTAGGATTGCTCTTAAGGTATTCATTAAAACCTCGATTCATTACATTTTTGAGAAGAAGAATTGTACGTTTAGAAAATTTCCATTGTTCCAGGTTTTGTTACAAATATCCGAAATATAGCAAGATATATATGGTTTGATTATAAATGAGATTAAATCGAAGCATAATTTTGAAAAAGAAATTATGAACCAATATCATTCTCTTACATATTCTCAATTTAGCTCATCAACTCGTTCAAGCTTAGAAGAGCTTACTAGCACAGACTCAAGAGAATACTTCTTGAGGAAGCTAAAGCGAATTAACAGAGATCCATCTTTAACTTTCATGAAAATATATAATTGGCTAATATCGTTCAATGGTGTAGCTAATGTCCCTTTTAATTTCATTATTGAAAACAATTTGCATGAAATTATAATAAATTTCATGCCGAATATTAGCAATTTAAGTAATGACAGCATCATATCTTTCTTTGGAATCATTTCAATATTAACTAGTCCTAATTCACCTGTTCAAGAATTATTTACAACAGAAGAAATTTTAAATTTTTTAATATCCAATCTTCAAAACTCGATTAAAAAAGTCAAGATACACATTATCACTTCTATATCGCAAATTGTTTCTTCAAATCATGATATTATTCAACTTTTATTGCCAACTCAATATTACACAAACATTACAAGTTATTTACAACTGACATCATTTAAATTGCAGTTGATATCATGCTACAGCTTAATTTCATCAATTGGATACTCTCATGATCTTTATTCTCTAGGAATTAACAAAATTATCGAAACATTCCAAAATCAGAACCAAAACAACAAGAATCTTATCATTAAATGTATTACTACAGCATTTCACTACTTTCCTGAAATAATATCAGATTTTATTGAAAATGAGATTATTTCTACATTTATTCAGTTTCTTGCTCCAATTGATCCAAAATCGGAATTGCAAGAATCTATTGTAATGCTTTTTACAGAATTTATAACAAACATTCCTGAAGAAAATTTGAATTTTTTGAATTCAATTATTCCTCAAACAAAGATATTGTTTGATGCATATTATTCAATTTATTCACAAAAGGAAGCGAATGCGAGTGTTTCAAATGCTACTATTAAGCTTTTAGATTTATTCATTTATTATTATCATTATCATGCAGATCTTCTTAGTGCACACATTCTCTCTTCAGATTTTATTAATGAAGTAATATCAATTATGCAAGTTGAATCGTTTAGATTATCTTCTAAGTGTTTATTCTTTATTTTTATCGCATTTGAGAGTGGAAAAGAAGATTTAGTAGATGCAGTTATTGGTGTAGATATATCTGAGCAAATTTTATCAATTATGAAAGAACAATCTGCTGATGATATCAACTTTTATTTGAAAATTATTATAAACTTTATAGATACTCATCAGAATGGTTCTGAAAGCATACAAAATTATTTCGGCATGGATCAATTAGAGAGTATTTTAAGTGATTTTACTGATTCCCAAAATCAGCAACTTGCCGAAATCATTTTTGAAAAAATTGCATAATTAATAAAGAATAGAATGTATTTGTTTGTATTTTTTAAAAAATTTAAATAATATTATTTGAATGAAATTGGAATGTTTATTTAAAGACCGTTGAACGCCTCACTGATCGTCTTATTCCCAATTGTTTGAATACGCCAAAAAGCATACCGTATTACTCAAGATTCTAACAATTTTCACAAAATTTTACCAATTTCCTCAAATTTTGTTAAAGTTGTTGCATGCTAAGTAGTGTCAATGTGTAAACCTCTCAATTTTATCGTCGGGGAAGCAACACAATTCCCTCAAAAATATTGAAAAAATATAGAAAATAAAATGAATTAAGATGTACTTAAAATGAGAAATAGATTATGATATTAGATTTTAGAAAAAACAGACTTTTGATATAACTTTTGAGAATCTCATATAAAAAAAGCATTTAAAAATAAATTTAAATATCTTATTTATTTTACTATTGTAAATATATTCTGAGATTTTTAGAAAAAAACACTTTTCATAAGTATTCAATATTTGAGAATACGGTCCAAAAAAAATAGATTCTCTTATATTTGCTTATATAAAATGAAACTCTCTATCAGATGCGAATGCATGAATTCAGCACCTCTGATAGAGAGTTTCCTCTTATATAAGCGGATCTTTTTCATGAGTTATTGTTAATATAAAAACATAAAAAGCTACCAATATGAGAAATTAAACCCTGCGAGGTGCCAGTCTAGAACTGGCGCTTCGCAGGGTTTAATTTCTCTTGACAAATGACAAAACTTGTTCGCAATTGTGAACCATTGCGAGGAAGTTTGCCAGATATCTGGAAGGAATTGCTCCTTATGATATATGCATTGTAACTGTATATATCATAAAGAGCAATTCCTTCAATTAAACGCAAAAACTTTGGTGCAATCGTTGCTGATTGCACCAAAGTTTTCGAACTTTCCCGAGGGAATTGGAGGGTGAGAGATACATAGTCTATCTATGTACCTCCCACCCTCCAAATCCCACTCTAAATGGGAGAAACTTTGTTCGCATGTTATCTTATTCAAACAAAGTTTCTCCCATTTAGAGAAGGAATAGGAGCCTACCAGGCACTGATATATAATCAGTGCTTTGTAGGCTCCTATTCCTAATAAAAATTTGAAAACTTTGGAGCATTTGATTATTGTATTTTGTCAAGAGAAATTCAACCCTGCGAAGTGCCAGTTCTAGATTGGTGCCTCGCAGGGTTTAATTTCTCATATTGGTAGATTTTGATGTTTTTATAATAACAAAAACGAATGAAAAAGATTTGCTTATATAAGAGGAAACTCTCTATCAGAGGTGCTGAATTCAGGCATTCGCATCTGATAGAGAGTCTCCTTTTATATAAGCGAATATAAAAGAATCTATTCTTTTTTGGAGCGTATTTTCAAATATTGAATACTTATGAAAAGTGTTTTTCCTAAAAATTTAATATAATGCTTAGCACAATATATAAAATTAAAATATCTATAATTATTTTCTATATCACACTTTTCATAGAGGTAGGGCAACGATAGGTCAAAAAGGCTTCTCTGATAGATTTCCTTGCCTTTTGGATATGCTATAATATATAGCCTAGCATGATATGATATGATGTCAAAAGTTAGAACATAACTTAGGATCTTGAGAAAAATGAAAAACAAAAATTACATAAAAAAAGAAAAATTTTATCTAATTTGTTTTTTTGGACCGAATAAGTAATTTTATTGAATTTCAATACGACAGATAGATTTTATTATTAGTAATAAATATAATGGTTTACTATTAACAAGGAACCTAAACTAATGAAAATTTGATTTCAAATATTGTATATGATTATCATAGATTACCAAAATATATTGCTATTTATGAGGATATAATATTGATTATTAGTAAATCGTATAAATTTAATAAATATACCATGAATATTGAATGAATTTCTTGATTCATAGGGGTAAAACGCGCTTTTATATGATTTAGACAGAGAATTTATGAGATGTAAATAACACAATAAAGGTTTATATTGAATATTTTCTAAAAATAAATCGAAATTATAAAAAACAATACATTTATTCATTGAAACTACTTGGACAAATATGAAACAAGCATTCAGGCAATACTTTTGAGACTTCAACGCATCTGATAATTTTTATATAACTTCACCTCTTATGCTTAGAGTGGAGGTATTGAGATCGTATAAGTATAGATGAGCTCACATTCAGATATGATGTGTGAACTTCTGTTTTCACTGCAATTTTGAATCAGAATAAACTCAAAACAAGAATAAAATGATATACTCACTCTCTAAATGTGTTCGAGATTTAAAGTTGTATGAATAAAACGATTCATCTTTCGAAGCCTCCCATTTAATGAGAGACTTCGAAAGATGAATGTATTCATGTAGATGAAATACTATATATGACCATGTGTGATACTAAAGATATCAAAATGTTCATTTTTAAGTGCAATAGAAGGGTTATCTCTCGTAAAATCTCAATTTAAGGAAGATTTAGAAAGAACTCCTTTCCTAAGTAGATAGTGTGTGGTTTCTGTCTTTTGGTTGATCAGGAACTATGAAATTAAGTCGGACAGAAAGAAGTTCTTTCCAAAACAGACTCCAAATGAGTTGTTCGAAAAGAACTTCCTTCTGTATATGGATAATTGTAGTTACCGCACTGAAGTATGTGATTGTGATGATGGAGTTCTCGATAAATCTAAAATCGGATTAAGATTAATTGAAAACTCAAGTAATTCTTTGAAATCTTGTGTTGTCTGGCACTATAATAACCAAAGAATGAGAATATTATGTTGAATGATGAGTACGTGTGCTCGGCATTCGCCGAGCGAATTGAGTTTAACGTACTATGAAAAGTGACAAATTTGGGCTTTTTTTCCTAGGGTTATGATCTCTTCCTTTCTGCTCAATACGACAGAAATGAAAGAATGAATTTGTACTCCCTAATTGATTACTACAATCTGTATCTATCTTTAACATAGAATTAGCTGCATTGTGATTTATACTCCAGAATTATTCAATTTAAGATCAACCTCGTAAATTTTAATCATATTGCACCAATACTCCTACGTTGAGATAAGAACATGATTATACATACCAAAGCCCCATATTAAAAATCAAAATTTAGCACCTCCATTATGCAACCACATTATTCGTCGCAAATAAGTATATTTACGCATATTATGATGCATATTCACACAACTCGTATACATGAAAAGTTATTAAAATCAGACAAAATTATTGCAATAAGGAAAAAAAAACAACTTTATTATATATGTTAGTAATGAATTACAAATATTTCTACAAAGAATGCTCAATACTTCATATAATCTTCGAATATTTCTTATTACAAGTTAATACATTTTGACTCGAACATGATAAACAAAAGCTGACACGCTGATTACTACATTTATGAAAATATAGTACGTTTCCATTCATCTGTTTACTTGTTTTTGTTGGAATAAAATCATTTTTTTTTTCTTTCATGAAATAAGAATTTTGCTGCGAAAGCAATATCTCTAACAATAATTAATACATTACGTCAACTCTGGAATGAGTATTTATCAAATATGATATCAAAATCAAAAATTAGTTGTTTTTTATGAGTAAAAACGATGTAAATTGATTATTTGACTAATTATCAAATACTTTGATTTTCCAAATTTTTTTCGAAATTGATTTTTTCATGTGAAAATTCAAATTGTTTAATTTCATTTTTGAAATTTTGAATTTTTTTTGGAATTTTGAGTTGATCAATTCAGCAGAATTGATAATGCTATTGCTTTAGGGCATACCACAAGGTGATGAATAAAAGGTGAACATTAACAAATTATTTTAAATCACAAATATCATCCTCATCAACTTTAATTCTAAAAAGAACTGTACTGAATTATGAAAATGCATGATTTACATTATTAAAATCTTTGAATGAAAATAGTACAAGATAAGTTTTTATTCATTTTTAATTAGATTTAAACGAAAAACTACTCCATATTAAAATTTAAGTCGAGAAATCGTATTTTGTTCTTATTTGTTAGCATTTTGTAGACATTCTAATCTTGAATTAATTTGTTACATGATATTATTAACAAATTTAACTGAAAAAATATGTTAATATGGAATAAACCATGATTATATAAGCTATCAATGCTATATATACATATGTAAAAGATTCATATTAACTCAATTAACAAAAATGATAGATTTTCATAAAGGTTCAATCTAGGTTCGTCCGAAAATTTTGATTTTTATATAGAAGACATAGTTTCATATACATAATTAAATTTTCAAACAAATTTGATCATACCATTTATTAAGCAGGATAGTATATTAATTACTATCAGTATAAAAATATAAAAATGATTATATTTAATTATTGCATAATTTAGTCAAAGAGTTATAAGCCTCAAGTGATCGTTATCACCTTCAATGCACGTATACTTTATTGATTCATAGATATTTAATCTATGTTTGACATGTTGTTGTCGTCATTCGTTTTGTTCCCATTCTTCCTAAGTTAGAATTCGAGAATACACCATCCACATCATCTAATTTGGTCCTCAGCGATAGATTGGTTCATTTGGAGGAGTCCATCAGACAGTTTTCGAGCACCAAATATCAAATTTTAATGTATACAAATCTTTAGTGATTTATCTCTTTTATGATGAGTAAAAGGTTTCTGCTCATCAACATTTGATTTCCGACATATATGATTTCTAATTGCAATTATTTACTTTCTTTTATAATCTAACTCTGTGACTCATACCATAAATTAATTATTGGAAAGTGTCAATATGTTTGGCACAACGCATGGCGGAAGATACCAAACCATGCAGGGAATATGATACGTTTAAGATCTCCGAACTTTTTTTCCAAAAATTTTCTATCGTTGCCCTACCTCTCTTTTCATTACACCTTGAAAAGTCTTCTCAAACTCTATTTTTAATTGGGGAGAAGCTTCCTAAACTTTTTAATCCCATAAATATGGTCATTATCTGGAATAAAGAGTTAAGCGTCATATGTCACTTTTTGTACTAAGGAAACATCGACTTTATGCGTTATGACTTTTCGATGAGGAAACAAGTGTTTACGTATTATAAACTTCCTTATTCCAATAAACCGACCCTAAACATAATTAATTCTAAGCATGATAATGGTCTCTTTTCTATGATAACCAAATCAATTTGGTTATCATAGTAAAGCACCAAAAACTGGAATAGGAATAACCGCACTTAAACAGGAATAGGCAGTGTGGAAACTAGAGAAGACTCAACTGATTTTTTAAGCAACTCTTCTTGCCGATTCAAATCTGCTTTGCTAATCATTGTATATTACTATATTCTGATTAGGATACTTTAACGCTTGATGCATGCACATCATTCTTTTAGCTGATTTCTAAAATACAATCTTCTATTAACTTTGAAATTTCTTCAAAAGTTATAGTAATTCCATAGTTCATTCGTAAAATGTTATTAAATAGCTCTGACTATTCCTTTGCACGCAAAATGAGGTAGTATTTTTTGAATTTTTTACTCAAAATAAAACAAAATCTACCCAATTTTATACCACTAAAGCCTATATTGACACACACATATATAAATCTCTATTGTTATAAGATAAATTTGAAAAAATAAATTTTTTTCCTAAAATGTAAAATTATACTTGTATTCAAAGAAAGTAGATCGTTTATAAGGAAGGTATTATATATTTGGGGAGAAAATCCCTTACAATATACAAAAATATGAAAGAATATTCAATCATCAGGAAAGAGCTTAGTACTAACCATTTGTGAGACGTTCATATAATATCTTTTTCCTTTTTGGGGTTTTTAATCGGATTATCCATTTCCCTGCATTGACTTTAATTCATTCTTGATGATCTGAGTCTACATGATCATTATCGAACGTTTGCCATACTCTTCCACAGTTAATGATTGCTGAAAAATGAATAGTACTGAATAACAGCTGGAATTTCATAAGTATTTTGCGTATTTATACTGATTTAAACATGAAATACTCATACAAAATGCAAAGTTTTTAAAAACAATCAATAAAAGATTTTAAATTAGATAAAATATCATATGTCACTTCTTTTTTCATCTGGATAATAAAATTGATAAATTTTTTTCTAATTAAAGATAAAGATGCATTTATAGTAGTAGAAAATTAATTTCTAGACTAAAGCTTGTTTATTGTCACCGTTTTAAGTCTAAATTTATAGGAAATGGTTATTTTATTATGCATTAAAAGTTCTTCTATAAAATTAACATTAAAATCATCTTTCGCCTAAGAGTAATAACAAGGTTATGCAAATTTTATTGAAAATAGTACGAGAATTTTGTTTGAAAATATGGTTAAAAATAGGGAATGGATGTATGAATGTTCCATATTTATTTTATCCGAGTTGCTTCATGATTCCATATTGCCGATTCCTATTCCAGTTTTTGGTGCTTTACTATGATAACCAAATTGATTTGGTTATCATAGAAAAGAGACCATTATCATGCTTAGAATTAATTATGTTTAGGGTCGGTTTATTGGAATAAGGAAGTTTATAATACGTAAACACTTGTTTCCTCATCGAAAAGTCATAACGCATAAAGTCGATGTTTCCTTAGTACAAAAAGTGACATATGACGCTTAACTCTTTATTCCAGATAATGACCATATTTATGGGATTAAAAAGTTTAGGAAGCTTCTCCCCATTATTTTTTAGATATATCTCAAGTGTGATTATTCAAAAACTCATATAGACTATATTTATTTTTTTCATTCAAAAAATTATATGAGAATCTCAAATTAACTTTCAAATTTTTTATTTTAAAAACATATTAATAATCATATTTTAATATACTTTTTCGCCCAAAAAATAATCGTACTTCCTCGACGATTAATAGGCTCTCAATTTCTATCGTTGACACTACTTAGCATGCAACAAAGTATCTTCAAAAAGATGTGTGAGTATAATTAGAAAATAATCAGCTTTAAAAAAACGATAATCTGGTCCGGCCAAAAGCGGTTTTTTCCGCCTTTGAAATGTCTGCTTCCATCGTGATTGACGCTAAGGGCCACATCCAAGGCCGTCTTGCCGCAGCTGTTGCCAAGCAGCTCCTTAAGGGCCGTAAGATCGTTGTTGTTCGTGCCGAAGAAATCGTTTTGAACGGCAAGCATAAGTTCACAGTCCACACCTACGAACGCTTCCTCAACAAGACAACAAACTCCAACCCACGTGATGGTCCATTCCACCAGCGTGCTCCACGTGAAATCTTCGCTCGTGCTGTCCGCGGAATGCTCCCATACAAGACACACCGTGGTGCCGAGGCTTTCGAAAACCTCAAGGTCTTCGAGGGTGTTCCAGCCAAGTACGTCACATACAAGCGTGTTGTTATCCCACACGCTCTCCGCTGCGTTTCCATCCATACAGATCGCCCAACAACAAAGCTTGGTGAACTCTCAACAACAATGGGCTGGAAGTACGGCAAGGTTGTTGCTGACCTCGAAGCCAAGCGCAAGGCCGAATCTGCTAAGTACTACGAAGCTAAGAAGGCTCAGCAGGACAAGAAGGCAGCTGCCATTGAGAAGGCCAACAAGCAGCTCGGCGCCCAAGCTGTTAAGTTCCTTGAGACATTCGCTGAGTAAAATATGCAATATATTTCAATACTACTAAGCAAATAATCAATATTTTTCAAAATAGTTCTAGCCTAAAATCAAAATAACATATTACATCATTTAAAAAAATTAAATAATTTTCATTTGAAAAATATCAAAAGATTTGGATCAAAATTATTGATATTTAAATGTTGTTTATCAGGAAATATACATAAAAATCCATGAAAAAGCATATTTTTTAAACAAAAATATATACAAAACAATTTATTCTTTCCATGATTCAATGCAGGTATGATTTTTGCATGCTTCATCGAAGTATTGATACCAGACTTCATTAAGCTTAGCATATCCGCAGCCGCAATAAGTTACACCAGATCTTCCGCATTTCCATGGTTTTTTACATACATAATGAACTACTTTAAGTTTTCCTGCCTCATAAAATTCAGGGAAACTTGATGAATCTAGTCTAAGCGCGTTATATTTTGGATGTAACGGATTAAACGTTTTAAAGTACGCATTTATGAATGCCTGATCGCCAGGCAAGTGTAAAAACAATTGGTCTTTCATCTTCTCAAGCATATCTCTATAAATTAAAATTGATGGCTCCAAAACAAGAACTCCTGTATTGCAAATATATGTTGGATTGACGTCATTAGCACAAGAAAGCTGTTTTTCTTTGAAAAGCTCTTCGACATTATCTAAAAGGAGTGTATCTGTGTCAAAATAAAGAATTTTTGAGTAATCTGTGAATTTCCACAATTGTAGTTTAATCCATGATCTTCTATGCGTTTTAGTCGGTTTTATTTCAGGCATTTCGTAAACTTTCCACCATTGAGATAAAATTTCTCTCCAGGTTGAATTTACATCATGTGAAACTAGGCAAATTCGGTCTATTGAGTCACCATGATACTTCTGAATTGAATATCCAAGTGCTACAGCCCCCATACAGAACGCTGGAGTTGTGACTGTGGCAAATGCAACTTTACTGCCTGTTGATTTTAAATGAAATAACTCGGGCCGCCCTATAAGTAAGAGTTTGATAGTAGTAATGTTCGCTGTTATACCAATTACGATGAAAAAAATGTAGAATATATTTTTTCGCATTATTAAAAAAGTGACAAAGATTTTAACATGAATTTCGGTTCAAAAGAATAGATTTTATAGAAAAATTAAACTAAAGTACAAACATTTTATTCGATGGCAGAGTAGTTAAAAGAACTTCCTTCTTAGAGATCCGTATTGAATTGTTGTATTGAACATTTCTTCTCCGAAATATTGAACAGGCTCTTGCGGACCCCATAACCATTCGTTTCTCCATATTAAATAGTTATCAGTACTCTTCAAAAGTGGATTTCCGTAAATTATTGGAGAAAATAGCAAGAAATTGGCAGAAACTAGTATACAAATCGTGGCAAAGAAGTATGTCCTGTAATGTGGCCACTTCCTGAATATGCAATTCGCTAAACTTGCGAGGTTCATCGCACCAAACATCATTGGAACGATGTAATGGTACATAAACATGCCTCTCGGGACCAAAACAAAAGGTAGATACGAAAATAACCAGCCAAGGAATGTGTAAAGCACTGAATAGTCGGCAATACGGAAAATACCAAAGAAAGGAGTCAAGAAAATGAAGAAAGTAGTGGACCATATGACAGCTGGTAATCCAAGGCATTTAATTGAAGTACCTTCTCCGACCCAGAACAAAACATAACGATCTAAAAGCAATGGCCAGTTAATTGGCATCGAACTCCAAGGATGTGGTGTAGTAATACGCATATTATTTTTGTGCGTGTTAAATAAGTCTTTAACTATTGTTAAAATATGACTTCTTCCGATAATTCGATTAGCTTTGTATGTTTTGTTTAGATCGTTACGCAAAAGTAAATATTGTCTAAAGTGGTCTTCGTGGTATGTGTTAGTATGATCTCTAAACATTAAAATATCATGATGAATTACATATGAAAAGAAAAATACGGTAATTGCCGGTCCCAATAGCGTAGATGCTCTGTTAATAATCTTTATGATATTTGGCCACTCCGTAAATATCCAAATTATTTGAGTTATTCCATCTAATGCAATTAAACCAAGAGCTGTAAGCTTGCAAGATATGGCAAGGCCTAAAGTAATTCCTGCAATGAAAGTACTGATAAAATCTTGATGCTTAATAAAATAGGTAAAAGCGCAAATATGCAAACAAGAAAAGAAATGAAGCATTGCATCGGAAAGAATAAATTTGTGTTCTACAATAGATGATTGTTCTAATGCAACCATCAAAGCTCCTGTAAATGCAGCAAAATATTTTATATTAAGATTTCTAAGTGCAATATAAATTAAAACGGAGCAAAACGATCCGAAAATGTTTGGAGTTATTCTTAAACTGACATAATTAGTTTCTTCATCTCTATAATTACTTGATCTTCCAAAATTAATATTTCCTGGGTAACCTGTTGCCCAAGCAACCAGTGCCATTGTAATTTTTCCTAGAGGTGGATGGATATCACTATAATAGCTGCGATTGATATATGCGTTTGAGAAGTTTCCAAAGTAAACTTCGTCAAAAGTAACTCGTGAAGGGTGTCCAAGCCTATAAAGTCGTACTCCTAGACTTATAAATGCTATTATAGTCATTAAAAAGCAATCCATTGAAGTTAATCCATATTTTTTCATTCAAAAAAAATATTTTTTTTAAAAACTGACATATTAAAAATGTGACAACGATCGGAATAACAGTTATGAAAAAGTGAGAAAAAAATTTATCGTCGGTTGTAAGAAAAAAAAATATAAAAAAGTGACGAAAAAGTCTGATGAATAAAAAAGCAATGGGATTATTTTTAGGGAAAAATTGAATAGTTTTTTAACAGCACTTCTTACCACTGGATTGTTTTTTATCAAGCGATACCTGGTTCTTGTTATCGCTCTTTGGCTTAGCTGCTGCCTCCTTGATTAACTGCCTTGATATCTGCTTAAAAGCATCTTCAATGTTTAAGGCTGTCTTAGCCGATGTCTCGAGTAAAACAAGGCCCATTCTGTTAGCCAACTCCTTAGCCTCTTGCTCGGTTACAGCTCTCTTGTCTTCGAGATCTGCCTTATTACCAACAAGTAAGAGTGGGACGTTTGATGTAATCTTTCTAACATCCTCGATCCATTCAGTAACTTTGGTGAATGTATCGTGGCGTGTGATATCGTAAACAATAATAATTCCGCCGCAATTCCTATAATAAGATGTTGTAATGTTACGGAATCTTTCTTGTCCGGCACTGTCCCAAATCTGAAGTTTGACGCGCTTTCCATCGACATCTATTTCGCGAACTTTAAAATCGACACCAATTGTTGATAAGAAATTTTCCTCGAAGCTGTTGTCTGCAAATCTGAGAAGCATGCATGTCTTACCTACGCCAGATTCGCCAACAATCAGGAGCTTAAAGAGATGATCGTGGGCTGACATTTCTTTCTGTATGTCACCTTTTCGATTTTTGTTACGGATGGAATGTCCATGTCAAGATTTTCACCGAAATCGACTTCCCTTAATATCTAGATCATTACAGATATTGATACTTTACCATTCTTCATCGATTAAAAATCTTCATTATGAAAATTATTCAGAACGTTTTTTTTTCCCTCACAAATAAAAAAAAAAACTTCAGACCAAGTCAATCTTTTTCATGGGAGTGAATAAAACTCGCTAAGTATACGTTGATGGATAAACTATTATAATTGGTTTCACTACTTTATTTTAGCATGAAGGGTTAAATTTAATTAAAAAATCCTTTTCTTTAAAGCGTTTTCCAACGTTGCAATCTATCTATTTTTCATCCTCCTAGATTTAAATTTCCTTGGTTATTACTTGCTTTTTATAAGCTAGATTTTGTTGAAATATTTATTGTAAATACAATTTTTATGAGTTAAACCAGAGAGATAATGTATTTGGTCAATATGGAAATAATGAATTTGTTAATAACCTCGTTTATCTCTGATTCAATTATGGATTCGCAGATTGACTTATATATAATGTTATTTAAAAATGAACGAGATTGATAATTTTTCCATGTCTTCTTAAATTGCAAGTAAAATACAAGTAAATTATCAATAACGATTATTATATGAAATATATAGATACCTTTTTTTCGTTGAAACAGAAAATATCAAAAGACTTTTGATTCCACAGTAGTATTCGAGCTATTGCAGAGATTATTTTTAATAACTATGCATAGAAATTAAAATATACAGATTGAAGAAAAAGATAGAGATGTTTATAACATAGAAAGAAGGTCTTCACGCTGATTACATAACGCCAAGGCCTTTGCAAGATCGAAAACACCAATTGGCGTATTCTCTTCCAAATGGTTTCCAAAGACAGAAATTATTTGTCTTGTTTTGCTATCATAAATCGATGCAAATGAGCTCTGTCTTGGTATCTTAAAGAGTCCGAGATCGTTGACCTCACCTTTGCTTTCATCTTCCTGTGATGGTTTGATATGGAAGACAAACCACCATTTTCTAATTGTGTCGAAAGCAAAAAGATGTGTATAGTGGTATTCACTGGAACCACCGAAGCAGAGGATGTAGTTTGGATAAACAGCAACTAAACCTGTATGTTCAACAGTTGTTTGAGGTGCAGTTCCGTTCTTAGGAATAATTTCGAAAGTAAGTGTTTGCATATCTAAGATAAGCATTCCTTCTTTCTCTGATGATCCGTAGATGTAAATCTTATTATCCATTTGGGTGAAGCTTGGAGCGATCCTTGATTGAACATCAGAACTGACTGTGGACCATGTATTATTCTTAATGTTATAAACATGGATGTCATTGTCAGTTTTTCCTTCAGCACATTTTCCGCCCCAAATTATAATGCAGCCTTCAAAATGACCAATGACGGCATTGCATCGGGGACTTGGTTTGATGCCATCACCATGTATCTTAGCAATTTCTGAAGTATAAACATTGATTTTATATAAATCATTGAAATATGAATCGTCACTTTTTCCACCGAAGATATAAAAATGATCGCCATACATATTGCCTGTAGCATGTGTTCTCGCCTGACCTATGCGTTGTAGTACGGTTGACCATCTGTTTGTCTTCACATCATATGAGATGAGTTCTGATGATAGTTCATTGTTTTCTTTTTCGCCAAATGCAAAGAAGATTTTATTGGATGAACTATGGAAACCATATGCTATGCCCTTCCTAGGTTTGGGTGCCCTGAATGCATTGGTATTAACATGCCAAGATGCATGGAAAGCAGTTTTAGTAAGGTTTTGGTGCTTTTCTTGGAAATCATGGTCAACTAAGTCTTTGTTTGAGGAAGTTTCGGATATTGATGTATACCCTGAAGAATAGATAGCATCACTATGAAGCATTTCGCTTTGTTCAGCTCCCATATTTAGGAAATGGCCTTTTAAAAAAATGATTATTGTTTTGAGAGAGAAACCGTAAAGTATTCAAATAAAAGATGGGAATTATAAATATGATGTATGATTGATAATATATTTAAATTTGTTAAGTTTTGGTATATATGATCGTTTTTCATCAAATCGAATGTGATTTAAACAACCATATAATTATATACATATTTATCTAAGAATTGGTTAATTTATATAGAAAAAATAAATTGAGAGTCGTTTATGGGCAAATTCAATTAGTGGCAAGAATTGATAATATTAAGCAGTAATGTATAAATATCAAGATTTCAAAATGGATAAATCGATTATTTTTTAATGAACTTTCAAAAATTACGGATTGAAAAAAATTATATGAGTTCTCACAATTTTCATAAATCAACATTTTGCTAATTGATAACTTAATATTAATTAAATAATTTTTATTGAAAGAAAAAAATTGAATTCCAAATAATGTATTTAATATTGAACATTGAATACTTTTGTTAAAAATCATAATTACGCGATAAATTTTACAAAGCGCATTTTATATGTTATTATGCGACATCAGAAAATCCAATAATCTTATAATATATCAATTTTTGAAATAAATTTCATTTGATATTGATTTTAATAGAATAAAAACATCATCACAATATATTATATATGAAAAATAAATATGATGATATGAAAAAAAGAAAAGATATTGAAATTTAAAATATATCGTCATTAAATGTTTAAAAAGTATAAAGATGAGACTTTTTCTCCATGATAATGGTGTTATAATGTTTTAAAATTAGGCAAAGGGATTTCTTATATTTAAAATTTTTTGAATATTCTAATCTTGATTAAAACTCAAAAATAAGTAAAAAATCCAATAGAGCACATAAAATAACTCATACTCATCATATTTAAATTTTAAAGTGAGTCTCCGAAAAAAATCCACGGCTCAAAATCACAAAGAAAAACTTTTTTTTTATTTTTATTTATTTTTTTTTGAATTTTGGGAAGAAAGAATCTTTTTCTGAAGACTGTCCCAACGGGGACCGTGGTACATCATTTTTTGATAATATGCAAAAATTTGGAAACATTCTGATAACAATACAACTGTGAATAGCATTTTCAATATGAAAGTGACCTATTTAAACGTCTCCTCATGTAGCGCATATTTTATAATAAATTAATTTGACTTATAAATCATAATATAAATGGATTTTCTGATTACGAAGTTTCTAACTTCAACAACAATTATGAATGTACATTTTGAACTTTTCCAACTTCAGGACTAATCGGCAGATTCCAGAAGATAAGTTCTACTCAAACATATACCAACTTTCCGACGCAGTCTTACAAATTCCGTACCATTCCAAAGCAATGATCCATTTGATAAATGTTGCAATATTTACCGTAAATAAAATAGCTTTTAACATTCATTACAAATCAATTCCAAATTTATACTCATCACATATACTCATTTTAACACGATACTTACCAAATTACATATAACTAGAGAGAGAGAGGTTGCGGAATCGAAACTTTTGACAATTGAGAATAACGATGATTGGAATTTTTAATTGAAAAGTGTATTCCGTAATTTTTTTAAAACAATTTAATGATCAACAAATAAGTTGGTAAGGAAAGAATTCACTTCACAAACAATGAAAATTGTATTGAATATTTGAAAAATGATACATTTTCTTTCATGGCTTATCATACAAGCGACGAAGACATCAAGAGACTTTTCGAAGTTGCTAGCGCAAAGAAGGTTAACTCATACTCTCCATACAGCCACTTCAGAGTTTCTGCTGCTCTTCTCTGCCGTGATGGATCAATTATCAACGGTGTTAACGTTGAAAACTGCTCATATCCAAATGGCTGCTGCGCTGAGCGTTCTGCTATCTACTCAGCTATTTCTCAGGGCTACAAAGATTTTGTTGCCATTCTTATTACATCAGACATGAAGGATGATTTCATTTATCCATGCGGTATGTGCCGCCAAGTTATTGCCGAATGGGGCAACCTTGAAGTTATCAGCACAAAGGCTGATGGCAAGGAAATAAAGCGCTACCACATTTCTGATCTCCTTCCAGAAGCTTCCACACCAGCTGATCTTACAAAGTAAAAGTATTTTATTCGATTTTCGTAAGTGAAGCATATTAAAAATTAGTATCATAAACAAGGTTAAAACATTTTTACTTTTTCAAGCAGTTAATTGCTATATATATCAACAAATGTTGATAGAATTAAGGAATTAAATGATATTTATCCATATTTTTTCTAACATCTGAATTTCATATTTAATTTCGAAGAGCATTAACTGATCATATTTCAAGATTTCAGATACACCTGCTAAAGAAGAGGTACGTCTATGATTTAAATTTCATTTTGGATGGCGGATGCTGAATATAAGGAAGATGAACAGACAACCCCTATTCGAGATCGTATGCAAGATCCATCCAATGATATTGAAAATGAAGAAAAAGAAAGAATAATGTTCGAATTTCAACAAAATGTTACGAATTTGCTTCGTATTCGAAACTGGAATTCCCCTGTTTTAGAAAATTACCTCAAAATATTTAATGACCATATCCATAAAACTGATATATCTCAATATTATGATTCAGAGCTTCAAGAATTATATTCATTATTTCTCGATTATTTAGTTCCTAATAACGATCATCTAATCCTTTTAATAAAAATCATCAAAAATACCATTCAACTTCAAAACAGAAGCATTTCTGAGTACTTAAATTCAATTGGACTGTTAAAATCTTTACATGATTGTTACCAGATTGATAATTTATTTGTCAAGAAGTACATTCTTAGTGCCATAGCTTATTTAGCCTATCAATCACCAATAAATCAAAAAAATGTTACTTTGAGATTTCCAATTGAAGAAATGAAAGATTCATTTATAAATATTGATGATCCTAGAATTAGATTCAAAATTGTTTATTACTTCTACGCATGTTCAAAGTACACATTGAATTCTCAAGAAATTAAAGTTATGGAACAAGTCATTTGTTATTGCATTGATAATAAAATAGTCGAAACTTTTGATAATGTATCCTCTATTGCTCGTAATCTAATGAGATTCAGAATGGAACCAGAATTACGTTTCAAAATTCTTCTAAAGGTATTTAATCTTGTCGATTACTCCCCCACAACTACTCAGAATTGCTTGTTTTCTATAGGAGATGCTTCCAAAAATCTTGAAATGCAGATAATTCCATTTGATTTAGATAAAGTGCTAGAATATCTAGGAGAAGAACGAGATGATGTTGTAGCTGCCAGTGCCGCTTATTGTATTTCAATGTTGGCTCATAATCGTCCGGAATTTTTTGTTAATTGTAATTTACTAGATTTTGCTGCAAAAGTAATGGATTTATATGACAATTCTCCAATGGTTCCAAAGTTCTATGTTTCTGAAGTTGTTATTGCTTTGTCTCATTTAATGAACCAAAAAGATCTTTTTGATGCGATTTTTAAGACTTCATTAGTTGATATCATCACATTTAACATTAGTTTCAAATGCGAAAAAGCAGATATAATTGCAGCTATTGATGATTTGGAAATTGTTGAAAAAATTTTCCAAAGTGCGAATTTGAATAATGAAGTTGCTTTGGTTCGTAGTAAATTTGAAGACTGTGGATTTGTTGACATCGTTGAGAATTTGATTGACAGATATTCAAATCATTCAATGATGCATAAGCAGAATACCTTAAAAATAGATCAAATTATGTCAGCATACTTTTCTGATTAAAGAAAAATATATATTTTTGTTTGAATAAATATTTTTATTTTGGAATTTAAGGGAGCACTTAAACTTGAATGTCAGACGTCTGTCTCTCAATATTTATCCGATGCTTTAATGTATAATAAATGTGTGTTAGAGAGTGTAATGTTATTTTAATGCATTATAATAAAATATAAACATTAACATTGTAAAATCCAATTGAAATATATAGGAATGTTTATTTGTAAATTTCGTGAAGACGTAATCATTCGAAAAAATTCTTAATATTTCTTTAAGAATTCGACAGTTGAATTTGCTTTGATTGCAAGATTAAGAGGGCATTCATTAAAATCGAGAGAATTTCATAAAACAATGATTGATATGAATAGAAAAAGTATTTCATAAAATGATGATTGAAATGAATAGAAAAAATATCTCCTTATGAACTTTTTTGATGATAAGAAACGTTAACTTCTGCTTTAGAGCGATTTAACCAATGTTCAATATATACACTTCAAATCACCAGAATTAGGTATAAAAAAAAAGTCACTTTTATTGTAATTATTAAAATGTCAAATCTTCATCCAAATTGGGATGATATTGACTCTAACTCTCGTGAACAACTGATCCAAATGCTTAGAGAACTAGAAGTCCCATACTTTGCTTCAGCAACAATGAAAGAATTAAAATTAATTTTACAAAATCGCTTGGATCCAACAAATAAAGATATACAACGTCAAGTAAGATTAATATTTACGGAATCTAGATATAAGAAGCGCACAAGTATTTCCATTAAAACAATTCGTATTCTATTAATTATTTCTATAGCTATTATTGGATTTTTTACTTTCAATTATATTACAAGACCATTACCATATTGCACTGGCTCAGAGAAAACAGGAACTTGCAGGCCTTGCCCGCAATTAGCAAAATGTTCAGCGTACAAAGCTAAATGCGTATCAGGATATTATCTTTCTGATTTAGGATGCTATCCCACACGCTATAAAAAGATTTTTGCTTTAGCAAATCGTGGTGCAAAATTTGTTCACCGTAGAGACGGCGATTGCTTGGAACACAAAGATCTTCTTACTATAGAAAACTTTAACATACTATTTCCAGATGTAAATACATCAATTTACTCAGAATTTCCGAAATTTAACATCAAAATCTCAAATGGAACGATCAAATCAACAAAACCACAAGTTACATACGTTTGTCAGGTTATTAATGCCATGGAACGTAATCCAAACATTGTCGGACCCATTGCAATTATTATTTTAACAATATTAGCTTATACGATCTGGAAGACACAGCATGAAAAGGACAAAGCCATTGCTCGTGATCTTGCTAAGCTTGCACACAAGATTTTAGCAACAGCCGACAAACAAATTTACATTTACGATATGAAAGTCCAACTTAGGGCCAAATATCGCTCAATTGACAGGATTTGGAAGACCATTGTCAAGTATATTGAAAATGATTCACATGTAATTGTTGGTGTTATGGGAGCAAGACATGATACTTATTGGAAATGGAACCATGAATAAACCCTATTTGTTTACATCGATAAAATTATTTTTTATTATTATTTGAAACAAAAAGGTTTCTCTAATTCGTATTTGTAAAAAAAAAAAATTCAAAATCCTCAAAAATAAGTTCATAAACAAAAAAAGATGTCGATTATCCCAAATTTAGAATCCAAATCAAATTTAGAATTCCCGTGATCGTGCATGAAGTTTATTTAATAAATTATTTGCTCAGGATTTAGTTAAGGTTGCAGGTACAACTTTCTGAAATTTTCTTACAAAATCAACAAATCATTGTTTTAATAGTAAAAAAAAAATACAAGAATAGTACATACTTAATACATAAATGACATTGTAATCAAAACTCTTTCATTAATATAGGAGTTTTACCTTCATTATTCTTTATTTTGATATCAATTCCTCTAAATCCTAAAAGAATTTCAACTATTTCTCGATTATTGCGAGAGGTAGCATCATGAAGAGGAGTATTTCCATAACTATTTTGTGTATTAATATCAATTCCATTTAATGATAAAAGGAATTTGACAACATCGATTGAGTTATAATAACAAGCAATATGGAGTGGTGTGTCTAGATAAACATTTCTCATATTAAGGTCAACACCACATGAAATAATATCCTGAATAAGAGATAAATTATTTAATTTTGCTGCATAATGAATTATTGGATAAAATAGTTTCATGATATCCATTATCAACAGCAAATTTGATTGAATAAAGATCTCGTTCTTGACTGCATTTGTAAAATGTTTGATAAATATTTATGTGATCATTTGATTTCCAATATTTTTCAAATGAATTTATATTTTCATCTGTTGTTGAAATTTTATCAAATTGTTTGATTTCTTGATTATTGTTATTATTGTTATCATTTGATGATAACATTAATGTTTCAAATAAATGAGTGAAGATTTCATTTTCGTTTTGAATATTGTCATATGATTTATTTTTTGTTTTCATTTCTTGATCAAAGGAGTTGATGAATGAAGAATAAAATTTGATGAAACGAGAAATTGTTTCGTTTGTGCAGAATTCGAATCTGATGAATTCAATCAGTTTGTCGAATTTTGATGTATTTGGTGTTTTTGATGTATTTGATGTTTTTGAAAATGATGATGAAAATGATAATAAAGGTGAAAATGTTTTGATGAATGAAATAACAAAATCACAGATATCATCTTCATTGTAGACAAAAACATGTTCGTTACTCAAAATATTTGAAATAAAATCAACAAAAATATTATCGATGTTTTCGTTAAAATACGATGATGCAACAGAATGATAAACAGATTCAAAAAGAAGACAAAGTTTTGAAGGTCCAAGAAAAGAGATATGAGATGCGATGAATGAACATGTTTTATCGAAATCAAATGTTTTAATACTGTATCGGATGAATGATTCGATGTTTGATTCACTGATAATTGTTGATGAAATAATGAATTTGTATTGTGAAATAAAATCTTCGTTCTTGAGAAGAACACCAAGATCATAAATAATTTCACTTGTTTCGATGTCGATGTTTTCTGAAACATATCTTCTTGAACAAACTTACAAAAAATGTTTAATGCTTTATTAAATGTTTCTTTATTATTAATATCAGTATCAATATTAATATTAATCTCTTGTGTACTATTGTCTGTAATCAACATGTTTCGAACTGTTTCACTTACAACAGCTGCGTGTGATTGCGTTGTATAAAATCGATGACCATTGATAACGAAACAAAAATCACTTCCATATTTAACTAAAGATGAATTTCTGCAATACTGAGAATCAACAACAAATTTAATATCACTCATCAAAATTTTTTTATTTTGTCACTTTTTAAGAATTTACCATCAATTTTTTTATCGTCAAAATATCAAAAATAATTTTTAGATGATTAAAATATAATCATTTTTGATGCTTTACATGTCCCCCGAAGTTCGAAAATTATTTAATCGAGTCCCTAAATGTCTCTCAAGCGACATCCTTAATTCAAAGAAAAAAAATTTTTAATAAATTTAATATTATACAATTTTTATTTAATACATACAAACAAATCATAATGTAATAGGTGTAATTGTCATTTCCTTGGTATTCCCATCAATATCAAGCTTGACAAGCCCGGAAATTAGTGAAATTGGAGCCAATTTCTTTTTGAGCAACGGAAATCTGGAATTGAGGATTTCATCGGCTCTTGGTCCTGTTGCTTTTCCAAAAACTTTGGCCAATTTAATGTATTTGGAATAATTTCTGTCCAATCCACATTTTTCAGCGGCGTGGAGTACCTTTTCCAGGTTCAATACGAGTTTGAACAGCGAAGGAGTCTTTTTTCCGAACTTTGAAACAGATTCTTCGAGTAATGAGTAAAATTCAAGCGTATTCCTGGTAAATTTGCCGAAGAATGTATCGAGGAAGTCCGTGACTTCACTGTTAATTGCATGGCAGTACTTGGATTCGACTTCGAAAACTGCGCTGTCAATAATTGCGCGAAGAGAAGGTTCTTTTTCTTCAGCTGGCTTGAGGAGGTTCACCATCTCACTGCAAGCTAAATTGAAGTAGTATAAAGCGCATGCAATGGAGTCGTTGCAAAGAATTGAACATTTTTCGTTTACATTTAAGGTAAAAATCGGCAGAACGTTGTTGATGAACATTCCTATTCGTGGCATATAATTCATGCAAAGCTCTGCGATAATAAAACAGGCGTTGCTGTTCTGAATATCAAAAATAATTTTTGTTGGCTCAGAACGGTTTGAAAATTTGATGAAAGTCTGAACATCAAATACAGGATAAACATCTGTGAAAAGTGAGACCTTTTCTTCAATCCGAAATCTGTAATCAACGAAATTTTTCAAATTTTGTTTAACTCTCTTCTTGAGGAGCTTAAAATCATCTGTACGCTCTATATATCTATATACTGTTGACGCTTCGCCATGATACAAATCAGTAATTGCATTTTTCAATAAAAATTTGCTTCCTTGGTTGAATCTGATCATTGCGTATGAAGATATATCGGCTGTAACGAAACTTTCAAAAACTGTATGAGCGTAAGTAATCAAATAGTTAAAAAATCGTTCGAAATCCGAAACTTTCGCAAATGTTCCACCTTCGCTGCCAACTCTAGAGCTTTTGGCATACGTATTAAGTATGAGTGTAGATGGTAATGGTGAAATTAAGAATTTTGTCTGTCTGTATGAAAATCCTAAAGATATTTCATTTTCTTCTGGTTTGTTGGCTTGTGCTGGCGGTTTATTCACGACATCTTTGTATCTAATTGATGGAGGCGATATCTGTTCGGGAATTGGCTGATAAATAAGACTATATACATTAAATATCGGAGGTAAATTCGTTTTTATCTTTAAACGTTCGATACGCGATGCAATCTTAAAACAACTCATTAATAGGTACTTGACTGATATTCCATGATACTTCTTTAGAAATTGATAATTTAAAATCAGCGAAATTAATTTGATATTGCGAACATTACGTCGAACATGAGTTATAATTGTTGTCAAGAATGAAATGATGTAATATTCAGGAACACCACATTCAAGCAAGTGGCGAATGAATTGTGTCAAGTCAGTATAAAGAGGAGTCATGTGTACTGCATCCCTTTCTATAAGTGCTTTCCATACCATGTCAATGTTGTGATAGCTTTTCATAATGTTACTTACTTCTTTGATCATTTCATCAGGGTCAATTAAACCATCTAAGCAATTTGACATTAAAACACCAATATTTTCGATTTCATGCTTAGGAAGTAGATGTTTGGCTATCAAACTGAACGTAATGGCGTTAGTCTGGATCGTCAAAAAATCACCTGGTTCCTGACTCATAAAAGGGAGAGACATGTGATATGAAATCACATTTGAATTATGAAAACATCAATAATGTAAATAGCTAAGAATCGTAATATGACTACTAAATTCTCTATAAGGGTTTCGTTTTGCGAAAAAAACGTACAATACGCAATTTCGCTAAAAAACATTTAGCTAGCAATTTCGACCTTTGACTCCACTCAAGACGTCACTTTTTTAATTTTGCGGTATCATATTTTTGGAAAATATTTATGAATATTATATAAAAAGTCTTTTTAATATCTATATTTCATATTTTTATCGATTTTAAAAGTTTTTGCGAAAAGTATTCAATTATTTTTGCTATTTGGTCGGGTAAATGTCGGATTTGCGACATTTTCTGATATGATATTCAGATTCTACGTTGATAATAATGCTTATAGAACCCTCTTGCTATTGTGTCAAAATTGCGAAACCGATAGCAAAAATATCTCGCAATATCAAAATTGAGATATTGAGTGAATTATGCATTATAGAGATTAAAAATCTGATTTGTGAAAACATCTCATCAGTTTCTAGCTAATTCAAAAATCTTTACTATCTTATTCGATTAAAATGAAAAGGGAATAGTTTCATTATGCTTTAAATGACAGCCTTATAATATAATCATAGTTTTCGCTCAATATGCAGCATTTTTTTTTCGAAATCTATGGTCAATATCCTAAATACTGATTGCTTTGCATTCATATCTCTTACATTTTCTATACCCACATCACTATTCATTGCTATTCCTATCTTTTTCATTTTTGTTTGTTTCTCATAATTTCTCAAAAAACATGATAACTTGATATTTGTAAATATCATACTTTATAACGTAAATAAGAACTTGACCTATTAAGAAAAGCAGTAATGAAAAGAAAATCTGAAATTCATAAAAATTACAAGTTTCTGATGACAATTAGCTTAATTAAACCAGGTACAAGATTATATAATTGTATTTTCTATCCAATTATCCATATAATATCTTATCCAGAAAAAATAACTTGATCAATACCAAATGATTTTTTAACTAGTAAATAAAGTATTTTCTTTACACACACATTGTATATCATAGTTTTTTTTTTGGTTTCGCAAAACATCCAAAAACAAATATGCTATAAAAGTGACAATTTTAGCAAAACGAAACCCTTATTCTCTATCGGAAATCAATTCATTATTTTCGGAAATCACATTTCGTAACTTATTGAGAGCACAAAGTAATGGTTCTAGAAGATTTAAAGATAGTGCTACAAGTTATTGTATTTTATGGGTATATAAAAAAAATTAACATTTTCTAAATTTTTGATCAATACATTTGAATTTCAGAACATAACCATTCATCTCAGATTTTTCACAATCTATTGATATTATATTTGGTTGGTTTTTATCAAACAAAGAACAGATCAAAACTGATCATTAATTTGAAGAAAAAGAACAAGACATTTCAAAAAATATGATACATTAAAAGCTGCTTATTTTATTTTCTTGGAAAATCTTATGAACCTTAAAATTCACAGTTGATATCATTTCAAAATGAAATTTTCAACGCATTTTAATTATATTATATATCGAAAAAATACCGAGAAAATTTCAGATCAGTGGTGAGTGAAATCTGAGAAAAAACGTTTTTTTAATACAAAATTTTTACAATCAAATCTTCATGGACACAATACTCGGAAATAAATCCATTATTTTTTCGGATTTTTTTGTGAGAAAATGATAACCGCAATTTTATACAAATATCTCCTTTTTAAGAGAGTATTGCCATAACAAAAAACCATTCTGAATTTTAGTTCAGAATAGCAACCTTCACTTTTTCACAAAGTTACAATCCATTACTCCGAAATGAGTATGCAAGATAGCTTTTCTTTAAAGGATCCGAATTTCTATTTTCAAAGATATGTGATCTCCTCATGCATGCAGGACAATGATGTGCATGGATTGAGGAATGGAGGAAAATCATCTAATTGGAAGAAAGCAATACCTTCTAAAATTGGTCTTCAAGAAAACAACTGGAAAAACCTTGATATCAAAGATGCAATTTCAATCACGAAGAAAAACATTCAAGATATCGAAATTGACGAAACTGATGATAAAAAAGTAAGATTCATTACATTACGATTCGAAGATAAAGATACATATGTTTTCACAGCAAATCAAGAAGTATTAGATCAATTTTATACCGGAATTTCTTTAATTTTGAACAAACCAGTTGAAAATGATTACATGGCTCAAAAGATAAAGGAATTTACTGACATGATCACAAGTCGTCTCAAATTCAAAAGAAATCTTGATAAAGACTTCGGAATTCCACAGATTCCACCAGAACCTACATGTTTCCCAGATATAGATCCTAAAGTACTTGCTCAAAACTAAAAAAAACAAGCTATCCCAAAAAAAATTTATAATTTATATGTTATATAGATATATTTTCGTATTATTAAAATAAAGGTTTTTAATAGGATATTAATTTTAACTCCAATCATTTCCTATTTTTTATTTTAGATCAGAAATCAATACTCTGATTTATTTGGTATGTATCGCATATACACTGAAATTACTTACTTGCTCTCTAACATTTTCAATATTAATTCTTGTTTATCAGCTTAGTTTTAAATATCAAATATTGTCAATATGCTTGCTAAAGATAATTCAAAATAAGCGTAACAACAAAATTAATAAGAAAATCAGTCACCATCATTTGAATATCCGATCTCTCAACAAATATGATTATTTCGGTCAAAAATTGCGACCACCTGGACAACATTAGCCTCTTTTGGCAAAGTTGAGATTTCAATTTTTAAAATCATCTCAAAAACACCAAAATTCTCCACTGAAAAAAATTTTAGTCCAAGGACTATTTTTGAAATGGTCTGGCTGTCAGAAAATTACGTAAAGCATGAGAAAAAACATGTATAAAATTATGAGTTATTTATTAATTGTTGTTGTTCTTTACCATATTGCCTTGGTGATTTAGCTGTTTAATCGCTTTAGGTAAATTCCAATAAATTGTACAGTCAGGCTGTATTGCATTGCTTGAGCTTGGGATACGTAGCACGTAAGAGTTTGAATTAAATCTTGTTTTGATCTTGCTAATGGTGAATGAGCTAATAAGGTTAGAACTTGAGGAAATGATGGAAACAGTTTGTAGTAAGCCAACAACCATTAGGAGTTTAGTGGTTTTTCCTTCTCTGATCAATCAGAACTGTGGTAAGGTCGCCTTTTTTTAATAATAAAAGTATCTTGATAAAAATTCTACTGTCATCGCCTTTTCCATTGTTATTGCGTCATTTACTATCTATAGACTTAATCAAAATTCATAATTTATATCTGAAATCTTTATGGTCATTGTTTTCCACATGCATAACATAGTATTTTTTTCTTCTAATAAAATTAAGGTGTATTTTATATGGTAAAACGCAAATATGTCCTTTTTAAAAAATTTTTAATGTCTGATCAAGACGCTTATCCACACAAATACAACAAATTGCGGAGTATCTACAACTACTATATCGATTCATATATTGCATTGTATCAGTTGAAAACAGAAACAGAAGAAGAATTAATGTCAATTTTCAAAATGATCAAAACAGAATTGATTGATTCAAATAAACATCCACCACAAAATATTATAAAAGACATTTTAAATATCATTCCGTATAATAATCGCTATACAAAGTCATATTTACTTCTTGCCAAACTCATATCTGATGAATATCATATCAAAGAGGTCAACAAGATCACAACTATTTCAAACTTCCTGTTTTATAAAGAATATGGAATTAAATTAGACAAGTCTGATGATTTTGAAAAAAAAATTATAGGAAATCTCGATATTCATACAGAAAATACAATTTATAGGACAATTATGAATAATGACAAAGAAAGATTCATTGCTTTCACAGAAATGGAAGGTTTTGATAAAAATCAAAAATTTTATAGCGAATTTTATCCAGATTATAATGGTAAATTATATTCATTACTTGAATTATGTTGTTACCATGGAGCAGTTGATTGTTTCAAGTTATTAAGAACGAAATTTAACTCAGAAATAACTGAAACATGTCTGGAATTTTCATTTTTAGGAGGAAATCAAGAGATCATGAGTGAATGTTTGAAATATCAAAAACCAGATTATACTTGCATGGAATATGCAATTATTTCACACAACATTGATTTTGTTACATTCTTGATGAATGAGTACAATATTAAGATCGATTTAGAATATTGCGGAAAATATAAAAATCTTGATTCTTTTTTAGTTTATTTTGATCAAACTAATGATATTGATAAATGCTTTGTTTATTCAGTGATGTTTAATATTCCATCTCTTTTAGAATATTTACTTTCACATGGTGCGAATATCAATAAAAAGGATCAAATTAGAAGAACAGCACTTCATTTTGCAGCACATTATAATTATAAAGAAATTGCAGAAGTTCTTATTTCACATGGTGCGAATATCAATGTAAGGGATCGAATTGGAAGAACAGCACTTTATTATTCAGTATGTTATAAAAGTAAAGAACTCCTTGAACTTCTTATTTCACATGGTGCGAAAATCAATGAAAAAAATGTATTAGGAGACACCGCACTTCATATTGCAGCTTGTAAAAATTATAAAGAAATTGCAGAAGTTCTTATTTCACATGGTGCGAATATCAATGAAAGGGGAAGAACAGCACTTTATATAGCAGAATCAATAAAAAGTAAAGAACTCTTTGAACTTCTTACTTCACATGGTGCAAAAAAATAATGTTCTTACATCAGATATTAAAGTCGACAAAAAAAATAAAATAAAATAAAATAAAATAAAAAAAAACATCGTTTGAGAGAAAAATGGTGTGCATTCAAAAACTCTTCCTTTCTTTCCTTGAAAATATATAAATTATTTTTGATTTATACTTATAAAGTGATGTGTTTCAGAAATCAAATATAATTAAAGCTGATGTGTCTATTTTTGGTGGCAAATCTTATTATTTTGGATGTGCCTGATAAGATTAAGATCCTACTTCATCACGAGTAATTTAAAAAATTATTCGCAAATAATTTCTTTAATCGTTTGAACTTCAAAATTGAAATAAAGATTATTGCACCTTTCACGACAGTAAATGATAATAAAAAAAGAATTCTCGGGCATACGATTATTTTTGATTCAAATGCTATTCGGCATTAAAAGCAAAAATAATCATATACCTGAGAATTACACTTTTCCGACATTTTTTGGGTCGCTTCGCGCCCCTGACAAAACGTCGGAAAAGTGTAAATTTTCAGAGGTGTAAAAAAAATAAACTTCTCAAAAGTAAGACCATGACCAATGGAATGCGTCTCATACCTACCCAGTAAATGAATTTTCGAAGCCATCAAGAAGAAGTAAGGCTTCTCCATGTCCCACTGTTATACCCCCAACGCCAAAAACGAAGAGTAAAGGCGAAATTTCCAATTGATTTTTGGAATCCCTGCCAATTTCAAAAATTTAACTATATTTTCCAGTAGAATGGAAGAAACTACTTATAATAAACTATCTTTATTTAAGAATAAACACCCACACCTCTGTAAAATTCTTTTTTTATATTTACTGTCAGGGAAAGTGCAAATAATTTTTTTTCTTTCAATTTTGAATTGCAAACGATTTTTTTTTCAATCAAAATTTCCAAACCTACGCAAAAACGTGACAAAAAGGTGACTTTGATTATTGAAAAAAATGGCAATGAATGGCAAAGGGTCTGGGGACATCCTCTGCGGATTCATTACGCCATCAATGTACGAGCAGATCATGTCACCAGATTATCATGTCAGAGAATCGATCACATCTAATTTAATTACAACAATTCAAACAACTCCGACTGACATCATAAATGTTGATGAATTTCTCGAAATCATCAAGCCATTGACGAAAGATCCCAATATGAAAGTTGTTCAAAATGTATATATTATGGTAAAAACTCTTATTTCAAATCTTGATCAGAACACAACACTTTACGTCCATAAATTAGTCCAAACAGCCCTCTCTTTATATTCAGATACACGAAAATTCGTACGCCAATTCGGTAACGAGATTCTAACTCAATTATTAAAATCGTTATCTCCAACTGCAGTACTTGCTGAAATGGTTAGGAACTTAAACAACGCGACATTGCAAGTATCTCTACAAGCACTTGAGTATATCGAGTATTTAATCCAATACAACGTTGTTCCTTCAGCATTAATGACACAATTTACATTTTATCTCGATAATTCTTTGGGATCACCTCACATTCAGCTTCAGCTAGCTGCAGCAAAGTTTCTCGATAGCTTATCTTTTAGAGATCCAACGACGGCGAACAATATAATCTCTCAATTTAAACCAGAGTCAATTTCTGCGATGGAAAAAGGGAAAAATACACCAGTAGACGTAAAAAGACGGTCAGTTGTATCAACAAAAGATGGATTTTTGACAATGAACGGAAGATTAACATTAAATAGGCCAAAATTCAATAGAGCGAGTACATCACATGTAGATCCAAAAGATATTGCACTAGCAGGTGCTGATGATACCGTAGAAATCCCTCCTGAAGGTTTTGAATTTCAATCTGTAAAACTTGGCACTTTTCAAGAGCCAAATGATAATAAAAACGATTCTCATATACCGGAAACAATAACAGAGGAAGTTCCTCCAAAAATCATGGAAATTCCAAAATCTCCAAAACGAGAAATTCCGAAATTACTTAGTCCTGAAATTCTGAAGACACAAAAACGACCTCCTCCATTTTCAGCTACGAAATTTACAGAAAAAACTTCAAAACCTTTTTTATCAAGGTCCGTTGAGCCAAACATGATGTCAGAGATGACTAATCCAGATGAAAATCGTATCCAGCCTCCAGCCAAGCTCCCAGAACCAGAATATATTAAAGAGCCGATAATTATTAAATCAGATAAGGAGAAAAGCTTTGATATTGGGCATAATGACTTCGCAAAAACAGTTCCTATTAATATTGGCGTCATCCCATCGTTTGAAAACGAAAATCCGCCAAAAGATGAAACTCCAATTGAAGATAATGACTTAATTGTCCAACCTGTGCACTCCTACCATAAGCACAAGGATAAATCCAATAAATATCAGCAGGAAAGACTAGCTTTGAGCCGTTCAATCAGAGCCCGCAACACATTAAGTACAGATTCGACTCCACAGATCGTTTTAAACAACGAACCAGTCCCAGAACCAATTATTGTCGAAGAAACTCCAAGCGAAATCCCAAAGGAAGTTCACAAATCTCCAAAAAAGGAGCAAAAGTTCTCAAAATCAGCAACAGTTACAGTTGGCGATCAGACAATTCCATCACGAAGCTCATTTGGTGCCAAGAATCCAGCAAAACGCCAAAATTCGAGTTCGAAGATTTCATCTTCCTCATTTGGTGCAAAACGGTTCGAAGATCTTATTGAAAAATTACACAGCGAAGAATGGTCAGACCAAAATGACGCCATTCTTGAATTCCAGACTCGACTTGATGATTTCGCAGATAAATTAAACGACACAGCTCGCGATGTAGTTACAACTCTTGCAGAATGTGGGCTCAGCTTACGAACGGCTCTTGCCAAGAACGCTCTTTCTCTTCTCCTTATCATGATAAAAGACCCAAGAATCGATTGTGCCTCGGTAGGTGAAACCGCGGGAACTTCCCTCTTAAAAATAGTCAGCGCTGGTCGACAATTCATATCTGCCATTGCCTGTGACTGTTTTGATGCTCTTGTAGATTGCATGAACACAAGCCGTGCAAGTGCAATGCTCATTGCAGAATCAAAGAGAAAACAGGACAAAAGCAGAATTCGTGTCGCATCTTGTATCGGAATTGTGGCAAAAAAGGTTCCTGATGATATAAACCTGAAGAAAGTATGTGAAACATTAACAAATGATGCTAATCAAGAAGTAAGGAGAATGGCAAGAATGTCACTTGAATTTTTTTATTGAAATTATCATTTAATTTTATAAAATAAACTTTGTTTGTATTATATGTATATAGAACATCTCATATTTCAATGCTTAAATACATAATATAACAGAATTTATTCAATTTTTTCATATGTAAGGTCGATGAAAAATTGAGTGTTTTTAAAAAACCGCCGTTTGAGAGGAAAATTGAGAACCTCGATGTATACTTTTTGACATTGTCAAAAACTTTGAAAGGACAAAAATTTTTTGAGTGTCAGAAAGTTTACAAATGTATACTTTCTGACGAACAGACTCTCAGAAAGTACTCAAACTGCGGTTTTTAATTTCCGCACTTTTTTGGCGACCTTATATAGAACATCTCATATTTCAATGTTTAAGATTTCTCAAAAGGCTGAATAAAAAAAAAAAAAAAAAAAAAAAAAGGTAGTGGGGCTTCCAGGCACTTCGTGCCTTCTAGCCCTGAGGATGATTGATATAATGAAGTTTTTTTTTTCTTGGGGTGAGCTTCCAGGCGCGTTGCGCCCTCTAGCCCACATAAATGAAGTTCTTATATATACGGGTCTTCCAGGAGCTTTTCACAAATTATATATGTTTTCATGTTTTGTCATGATTTCATCGTAAATGTTTTGTCAAGACTTCTTCTTCGTAAATGTTTTGTCAAGACTTCTTCTTCGTAAATGTTTTGTCAAGACTTCTTCGTAAATGTTTTGTCAAGACTTCTTCGTAAATGTTTTGTCAAGACTTCTTCGTAAATGTTTTGTCAAGATTTCTTCGTAAATGTTTTGTCAAGACTTCTTCGTAAAATGTTTTGTCAAGACTTCTTCGTAATGAGTGTAAATGACCAAACTGACAACACGTTGACCGAGTAGTTTTTTGTGCTGAACAAAAAGTGTCATATAAACATCTGTCAAAAACCGCTTTTTAACTTCACTTAAAATGCCACGTAAGCTACGTAAGAATATACGTAAGAGGAAGAGAGCATTGAAACATCCAATAGTAAAACTGACACCACAACAACAGTTGCAACAACAAATGCTGAATGACCCCACTATGTTGCAACAAATGTCAAGCAATCCTATGCTTTTAAACCGAGTTCTTGGTGCACAGAGTGGAGGTTTAAGAGCGGCACTTTTAGCGAAAATGGCAGGCTATGGTGGAGCTGCAGACGGAACAGCCTATAACCCTCAAAGTCAAATGAATTTGAGTTCACTCAAAAATCAAATAACAGATGTCAAAAAGTCAAACATAGACATACAGAAGCAAATAAGTGAAAACGAAAAGAAACTAGAATATGACAGACACACAAAGAAACTCAATGAGTTAAACGTAGAGAAAAAGAAGAAAGAAGAACAACTGAAAGAACTAAGTACAGAGGAATATGCGAAAAAAGTGTCAGAAAAAGCAGCAGAAGTAGCAAAAATGGAACAAGATGTCATAAATTTGAAAAACCATACTACTCAATATAAAGTACTGAAAGATGAAGAAATAAAACAAAAAGCCCTGAAGACATATATGGATAGCGATGAGTATAAAAAAGAAGTTGAAGCAACTGTAAAGGCAGAAAAACTTTTACAGTTGCAAAACCAAACCGTACAGTATGAAAACTTAGCACAAGAAAGTAAAAATAACGACGCAGCCATGCAAAAGGCAATGAAAAGCGCAGAATATATAAAAGCTAACAATGACTGGTTAGATGCCCAAGCCAACGCTAAAGCAGCCCAGCTTATAGGGTCAATAAGGACAAAAATACAAGCGGATGAAGACAGTTCAAATGAAGCTTTAACAAATGCTGACTTTAAGAACGCCTTCGAAGCTCTTCATAGTAAGGTGAAACAAGTGAACGACTTCTCATCTGGAAAGAAACTGAAGTCTGAAGGTTTCGACAAAGAGTTAAAAGAAGTAGCACAAAATATGACGAAAATAACAGATGCAGCAACGAGACAGGCAGTTCAAAGTGCCTATGACGCCGTTAGAGCAACTGTTGTGAAAAGTCAAGAAAAAGAGTTACAACAGACCAAAACAGACCTAGTAAATGCTTTCTTAAAAACGAAAAGTCAGGTAGGACATTACGCTGCAGATGGAACATATGTGCCAGCTGGTGGAACTTATATACCACCAAACCCTCCAAGAGAAGCACCTGCACCAGGACTACCTAGAACATTTACATCGTCACATGGACACAGACACAGGCATGCACCAAAACCAACAGTTCAAAACCCTGCACAACAACAACAACAACAACAACAACCAACACAACAACCAACAGTTCAAAACCCTGCACAACAACCACCTCCACAACCAGCACAACAACCACAAACAGAGCAAGGACATAAAAGAAGTAGAGAACAAGGAAACCAAGAATTCTTAAAAATGCTTAAAGAAGAGTGTGGTTTCCCAGATAGTATTGACTTTAGTGACAGATATAAAGAAGCTATTGGAAAGTTCAAGGATGGAAATACTGACCCGAACCTATTTAGCTTTATGGCTCAGCACCAAAACGGATATAATCTCAAACCTGGAAAATACAAGCTCGCTAAGGGATATGATTTAATAGCATATCATCCAAATGACATGGATGAATTTACTCCGAGATATTTGATGTCAGAGCTAAATGACAATTCAACTTTCGTCATGAAACGCGTAAAAAATAGAGACGGAACGAAAGAACAAAAGCTTATGAATGCCGATGACGTAGATAGGGAAATTGTTGAAAACGGTCTCGGAATATATGAAATGCCAGCAGATGAGGTACAAGAAACTCCACAGGAAGAAGTTCAGATACAACCAGACATGGAAGAAATAGTTCAGCAACAACAGCTAGAAGAGCCTGAAGGAAACGAACAAGTCCTTCCTTTGGAAACTAACTTCACAGAACTAGATGAAGATTTGGAACAGCCGAAAAATCTTGACCCTCAACAAGAGTATGCGGAGAATATGGAATATTTCCAAGAGTCTAAAAAAAATTCGGCTGACATAGTAGAAGAATATCGAAAAATGTTTGCCGACATACAAAAGACTCCAACATCAGATGAAAATATCCAGCATAGAATGGAAGAACTGAAAAAAAATGTACACAAATACAACAACCCTTTTTACTTACGAGCATTTAACGTTCAATCTTCGGATGAACTCGGTGAAAATAAAAGGTTAAATTTCAAGAAAACATATAGAAATGAAACATTGTTTAAAGTTCATTCAGAACCTAACCAAGATGGAAACAAACCTACTTTTGTTTCTGCAGACGATGGAACTACAATGAGATGGGGTCATAAAGCTAATCCAGATAGGTGGTTCATAAACTTACAACCACAATTCCAAGAAGTTGTAGACGCAATGGAAGTCAATGGTGAACCAGATATAGCTGGTATTTTCAGCGCGGCTTTAATGCCATTGAAAGATATGAAACATGCAGATATTTTGGACCAGTATGAAATGAACATGGCTGATGGAAATATAACACCTGACGTTCTAAAACATTTATCTCAAAGAACTACACAGAACCATAGAGATGGTATATTTGGTGAAGAGTTTAGAAAGAAAGTTAGGGAGGGCGAAGGAAGAGAACCTATTGTACATGACCTTGCAAACGAAAGTTTACAAAATGTCATAAAAACTTACTTTGCAGACAATGAAATGAGAAGGGATGAATATTTAAGAAAACTCAAATGGACAGTACCAAATGAAATGTTAGTATTGAAAAACATGTTCCTTGACAAAATAAAACCAACTACAGAAATAAACGACGCAAGACTGAAAGATTGGGTAAAAGCTTTCCCATTCACAAAAGATATTGTTGGTAACATGGAAAGAAAACCAGAATGGCTACAAAAACATATATTTGGAAACGAGCATATTCCATATGGACAGGCACTGTTTGAAGAGCTTGAACCAGAAACTCAGGACAGAGTCATGCAAACAATAAGCGACGACTCAAATACAAACTATGACAAAATCTTTCTAGGATATAGGTTACCTGAGATGGGCGACCAGAGCCCAAAGGCAAAAAGGACATGGGAAATTTACAACATACTAGATGAACATAATGCAAAGATGCAACAACTTCAAGCAGAGGGCAATGAAGGAAAAAGAAGAGTTAAAAACTCAGTCAGGAAGAAAGTAAAGCTTGGTCCACGTGGGTTCTATTATGACATATAAATCCAACTATTCTATATTTTTACTCATATGAAATGTACGCCGCTCAGAATATAACGCCAACAGTTTTGGATGCTATGAATGGAAATGTTTCCGAATGGTATAACGAATGCGACAATGCCATTAGAAGGTCAGAAATAGTTCCTGGAACTTACGAATATACAACTGCTGTTTCTTATGGAAACGTAGGTGAGTTTGGAGAAGGTTCTTCAACAACAGTAGATATTGCTTGCGACAGGTTTCATATAATTTCTATTGACAACTCTTTCTTATACGTAGAACAAGACATTGAAATAAAACCTTCTGCCAAGTTGTCTGACAAGAAAGGTTGCAATGGAATTTTCTATGTCGGATACCAATATGCTCCAGAAGTTTTCATGGATATAAGATATATTCTAACTCTGACTTAGTTCAAACAGTAACATGGGCAAACTATGAATGGTTCGCTTTGAGAAACTCAGTACAACCACAAGCTAGAGAACAAACAGACCAGTATGCAACTATTGAGAAAATAAGAAGACTTGACCCTAACGTTCCAGGAGTTTATGTTGACCTTTCTGGACAAACTGCAGCAGCAGTAACCAAAGTAAAATTGAAACTTAGAGTTCCTTTGTCATCTTTCCTCATCTTCAGGTTTTTAAGATACTTGCCAAACTGGGCAGGAAAAATTTCTATCGAACTTACTCCAAGCAAAAATAACTTAGTCATTGCACCAACGCAAGACCCATTCAGCATTGCTGTAGCTGGAACTGGTGGAGCCAAGTTCTGTGACTTTTGCAAAGACAAAGTTGACTTAGACTTTGGTTTCTCAAACTTCAACACTGAAGTAAACTACTATTTCAATGCTGCTGGAACTGCTTGGGACC